TGCAAGGACCGCATGCTCTCTAAGTGCTGCTGTGCTATTTGAATTTTTCCTCTTTAAATTTTTATTTTTAATTATGTGATGTGTCTGTGTATGGGTCTGTGAATGAGTGCAATGCCCTCAGGAGCCAGAAGAGGATGTCAGATCCCCTGAAGCGGGAGTTACAGGTGGTTTTGAGCCACCTTGGGTGCTGGGAACCAAACCCAGGCCCTCTGCAAGAGTAGCATGCACTCTTAATCACTGAGCCATCTCTCCAGCCCCTATTTGGATTTTTTCTTTGGGTATTTTCAATGTTGAAAGTTTTTTCATTAATTCAACAAACATTTGTGTCATCTACAGTGCATATCAGACACTCAAAAATGAGACTAAGTGAACTCTGGAAAGGAGACTGACTGACCCCTGCCCACGGACCTCCCAGCCCTAGGAGGTACAGGGGTGCCTACTAATCTGCCACCCAATGGAGGCTTTTCTGAAGAGGAAGAAACTGCTGACTGAATAGCAAGATGATGGTGTAACTCAGAGCTGTTCTGGCAAAGCCAGAACGTATGTTTGTCCTAGATGGGAAGAGTCATACAAACTCAGAATACAGGGCTGGGGGCGAAAAAAGGTACACATTGTGAAGAGGACAACTGAATCAGAGGCCATTTCATGAAGGTTTGGGTAGAATTTAGATGGTGGAGTCAGAGGAAGGTGGAATTATAGAAGTATGGCCCCCATGAAGATTCTGCATCTCTGTCTGTCCTGAGGGCTGTGGCCATGACGAGGTTCACAGTTATGTGAAAGCATTCGTTCCATTTCCATATCCATTTCATTCGTATCCAATAACAAGATACCACAGATTACATGCCTTAAGCAATAGACATTTCTTTCTTGAAGTTCTAGAAGTTTTCTCTTCCTTTTCTTCTAAGAACACCCTAAAAAAATCTATACTATCTTTCAACAGAGGGTTACAACTTTGACATATGATTCTTTCGTGGCATTATGGCTCAAACCCAGAGCCTCAAGCATGCTATAACCTTAGTCGTGTGCTTCAACATGTGAGTTGGGGAAGATCAGGATAGCATTACCTGACATGCCAGAGGGACTCTGAAGATGTAATTAAGATTACTCTTCAATTGAGATTAAGATGAGGAGTTTATCCTGGAAATCTGAGTGATCCAGTGTAACCACACGAGCCCCAGAAAGCAAAGGAAAACTAAGATGGAAGAGCTCGGCGAGATATGAAATTTAAGAATTTGATACACCACTGCTTGCTCTGCAGATAGAGGGGTCACCTAACCGAGAATGTGGGTGCTAAAGGGCCAAGGGATTTCAGTCCTACAACCCCCCCAAACTGAATCCTGTCCTAATCCAGATGAGCTCAGTGCTAATTCTTCTATAAAGTCCCCAATAGCCTGGCCAATTCCCTGATGTCATCCTTGCAGACTGAGCCAACCTGGACTTCTACTGGCTGTGAGATAATGCATAAATACTGTTTTTAGCCATTAAATCTGCAGTATTTGTTACACAGCCATAGAAAAAAATAAGTAGCAGGTTTCAATTAGGGGGAAGAATGAGGCCACTTATTGTGGGGTGCCGTGGTCATGAATGTTAGTAGCTAAGTGGCAAACTCTTATATTAATGCCCCTTTGAAATGTCTTTTCCTTTGTCTTCAGCAAAGTTTTTATGATGTAAGCTGAGCATGGCCAGATACATTCCTGTCCACCACTTTAACCTTAACCTTTAAAACTTGTATTCTATGACCTTGAGCTAAGCATGCCCAAAAATATATCTACTGGTTTTCCTTCTTAAATCATGACCTTAAAACTGAGCATGCTCAGAAGTGGCCCCAACGCTACATGACTATGCACAGACCCCCTGAAGAAAATCCCCCGCGCTTCCTTTGCCCTGGGAAGGCAACTGGAAAGGACTCTCGGACTTTCTTTACACTGCTGCAGGTGGCAAATCTTTCTCTGTTCTACTTTAAGCCATGCTTGTTTTGGCTTAGCATTCACTAAGAAACAATCCCATTGTATTCCAGCCATAAGCATAAATCCCCTCAGGGTCCCTGGGTGGGCAGATGCAGCTTGGGAAAAATGATAATGTGAGCACCATAACACTGGACCACTAACACAACCTCAGAGCCAAGGATGCAGCCAGGAGAGTGGGGCCTGGGTCTTTCTCAAGAACCACCCAACTCCCACTCCTGAGCTGTTGATGAGAGGAATACAGGCTCTGTGTGCACAAAATTACGATTTTTCAAGAAAGTCCATTTTTATGTCCTAATTCAATCTTTAAAAACACTATACTGGCCAACTGTGTGCTGACCAAACAAAACACAGATGTACGCTTGAGCCAGATGTGACCTTCTAGGGCACCATCTAAGTATAAGAGAACAGCATGGGAGCCCAAGGCATGGGCTGATTGGAGAACATGCCGTGGCAGTCTGACAGGGCAAGGGCTACTGGCTCTGCTTTAGATTAGGAATATGGGGCAAGAAGTGGTTCAATAATGGCCTGTGGTGACACAGATATGACATGCAACTCTTCTGATTCTAAAATCTAAGTCCTTCCAGCCACCAAGTATCCAGGCACTATTTGTTTCTTTTAATTCAAAGGAGTTTCCTGCCGTGTTTCTCAAGGCCTGGCTGCCTTCCTCTGCTTACTAAGGCTCCTTGTTCACCCCTCCCTCCAGCTTCCATAGGCATTAGCCCATCTCCTCAGCCCTCCCTGGCTCCACAAGCTGTCAAATTCCAAATTCTCACTGCTTGCTTGTAGCTCAATCTGTTACTTTCCCAATTCCAGAATCTCAAGAATGAAATCTAATTGATTCAGGTACTTTTTTCCATCCCAAGTCAGAATGGGTCATAGGTCAGATACCAGCAAAAAGCCTAGATCCTTCTCTACCTGTCACTAAGCAGTTCTTGTCTCAGGACCAATCAACAGAGGCTATGATCACCTTATAGTATGAGCAGGACTCTTTGGTACCAGGAGCCTGGGCCAGTCATTTCCCCTGAAGGGAGACATTGGCATATAGCATCCCAAACACCTGCCCAGCTCATGTGGCCTGACTGAAGGAAGTCCAAGCTTGCTGAACAATGTACTCCTACTATGAGGCCTTTGAGATCTCCACAGCTGTCCTGAATGGGGGACATGACAGGAACACCTTGTGGTTATCAATTTCCTGAACCCAGAGATGAAAGAAGCCAAGATGCATACCGTGTCCACTGTAACCCTGGGCTACTTCTTACCACAGAATGAACTCCTCTCTGTAGAGCATCGACTGACAAATGGGCTTTCCTTTCCACAGAGAAATGCTTTGTGAACAACCAGTCATCACTTGGCCTTTTCCTCTATAGAGTATCAAGGAAAGTCTCTGAAGAGCCATCCAAATCAGTAAGGGGTGGATACCAGGCCTTAATGACATTTGAGGACTCATTTTGCTGAGAAAGGAGTAGAATCATAGGTCCTCTTCAGTAATACCCTCACTTTGAATGGAGCTGGTGACTTCTAAAGACAGCTCTATCAGTTTGTACTGAGACATAACAAGCTACACAAATTCATGTCTGTTGCATATATAAAGTGTACAAATTTGATGCCCTGGCCTATATATGTATCTGTAATCCATTACCACACTCAAATTACTATATCTATCACCCCAAGTTTCCTCATGGCCATTTATAATACATACAGTGCCTTGGGGAAGTACTTTAAAGTGGAATGGTTGGATCATTTGGCAGGTGCTATGGTTTGAATGTGTCCCCAAAAGTTCATCACCAAGGTTATATTACTGGTGTTTGAAGGTGGAACTTTTGGGAAGTGATGAAGGTTAGAAGAGTTCATGAGTGTGGAACCTTCATGAGGTCATTAGTAGCTAGCTCTATCAGAGAAAAATCACCTGAACTAGCACACAGCTGTCTCTGCCATCTTATAGCACAACAGAAAGTTTTCTGGTAGATGATAACCAGAGACCAATGCTATGTTCTTGGACTACCCAGCCTTCAGAACCACAAGGCAAATAAACCTCTTTTCTTTATAAATTACTCAACCTCGTGTATTTTAATATAGCAGCATAAAATAGACCAAGAAAGCAAAACATGTTTCATCATAAGAAACTCATTTGAGTTTCAGACTGCCCATACTGCACATATTTAAAGGTTCACAGACCACATGTGAACCAATAACATACACACTCACCCACGAGGAGGTCATATCAGCTACAGCTGGCTTCATTTCAGAGCTCGAAGACCACCTGTGAGGAAAGCTGCCAGAAAGGAAAAATCTCCCTGGATAAACTTTGATTATTGTAAAATGCTCAATGAATAAATTCACAATAGCATCAATACTTCAGAAATGTCTCAAAGAGGGCCATGTAACCTGTCTCCGTGAGGTTTGTTAAGTAAAGGCAGCACCTCTCTGGTCTTAGAACAATCATAGTCAATACTGAAAGCTTCATGAGATGTAGAGGAGGACAAAGGTTCTCTGAGGGTGGCCCCACCAACATGCCCTGGAAACATGAAAGAAACCTCCATTCTCCCCAGGCCAGAACTTCTGAACAAAAACTGAGACCCCCATCAATCTGGAATTGAACCAACCCCCCAGGTGACTCTGGTGCATGGTCCAAGTCTAAGAACCACTGGTCTAGAATATCTTACAAGCCTTTTGACTTTCCTGGTGTTGAATCCATCAGAAGTTAAAATATGTCAGGAGCACTATCTGTCTATCATGCACATTCCACCACAGAGCTGTGGGTCTCGCCCTCTCAGAGCCTTGTAACCTGAGTTATGACATACACATCCCCAATGATGATTAACCCTTCTCTCCCCAAAGCAACAAACTTTAAAAAAAGAAAAAAAAACTCCTTAGAAACTAAATCATCAGAGCATTTACATCCAGATATCAGAACCACCAATTTAGCTCCATGCAGACTTCACCTTGACATATTAAAATGTAAATAGAGCTGAGAAAAGAAAAAGACAAAGGTTTTAGGTGGTGTACTGCAACACTTTTTACTGTCCCAGAACCCACAGCAAGCATACACATGAGCAGGAAAATGAATCAAACTTTAGGAAGAATTTGAGTAAAAAATACTGGCTACTTTTTAAACTTTAATCTTCAGTTTAAGCATGGTTGCAACTCGACATTATAATCAGCCAGAAGTTTTGATCTTTTCCTTGGAATTTCTGCGTGCTTAAAATTTAACCCATTCTCTGAAGATCCTCTCCAGCTTCTGGCTAAGCAGAACTTTGCCTCTCACTTTGAACGTGCCGGCCAGGAAAGCCCTCTGTGGGTTCATTTTGCCCACAATTATTTCCATAAACACAGAGTCAGGGATGGTAAAGACAGTGTCTGCTGGGACTCTGGCAGATCCCAGGTACGTGTCTCCTGAACCATTCTTCAGGTCAATGGTCCACTGAAGAACAGTCTTCCCATCTTTGGTGATGTCTAGCTGAAAGACAGCACTGATTCTCTTTACCAGTTGGGCTCCTACTTCTTTGATGTGATGGCTAATGTCCTCAAATACTGGGAAGCTCTGAAATTCTGACAGCTCTAGAGGGTGTGACATTGCTGGTTTGGGAGCCGATCCTAGAACCTTGGACTGGCAAGTCTGAGGTCTATCCCCTGCTTTGATCTTGGGTTGAGGGTCAGTTTTCTTCCACATCTTACTGTTGCTGGTCCTCTTGACCTGGCCATCTGGTCTGTGAGTAGCTGTATCCAGTTTAATGCCTATGGGTCAGATTGTGAGATCAAAAGCAAGGCTCAGGGAACTGAGGCTGGTGTGTGCTGCAATCTTATTGGCTAAACAAATCCTAAATTATGACCTGGGGTAAGGGCTCAGACAGGGTAATTGTGAAGCAGCTACACAACACACACACACACACACACACACGCACACGCACATGCACACGCACACGCACACCAGACCACACCAACCAGAGCTGTTATTCTCACAAGCCCAGAGCTTTGATCACTTCATGGGGATCAGGGAACCTGGCTCAAAAAGAATTCCATGCCTCCAAAGCAGGGCTCTAGGGTTCACCCCTGGCTGAAAGAGCAGTTATTCTGATTCCTTTAGAAGTAAATAATCCCTAAGGCATACATCCTGATGCTAGATTTAGCCTTATCAGGCCACTAGTAGAGGGGAAAGGAAAGAAAAGAGAGAGAAGAAAAGAGGGAGAGATATCCCTCAGTCAGCAGAAGACACTGTTAGCCTCGTATGGACATTGTATATAACACTGCAGCTCCTGCTCTAAGCCAAGGTGCTGAGTTCTACGCACTTTACATATATTGACACATTACATTTTCACTACAACCTTTGAGGTAGGTAATTTTTTATCCCCATTTAACAAATGAGAAAACTGATATGGAAGTTAGCAGGCTGAGGAAATCAACAGGTACTGTGGCCAGGGTTGAACAGAGGCAGGAAGATTCTAGAACCCACCCCTATATTTTACTTTTTATTTTGAAATAAATTTAGTTTACAAACATTTTCCAAAAATAGTGCTTGTAGATCCTGCATCCAGCTTTGGGGAAATGTTAACTTTAACATCTTACATAACTACAGTGGAAGGATCTAGTCTAAGAAATAACTCGTAATGCTCCTCCTGCCTCCCTTCTCTCCACCCACGAGTACTGGGATTACAGGAGTGTCACCACAGGGAGTTCATGTGGTACAGGGGATCCACTCAGGTACTTCCTACATGCTAGACAAGCACTCTGCCAACTGAGCTAAATCTCCAGCCCTAGATGTTGCATTCTTTACAGACTTTAAAGGAATGTGACAGGCTTAAAGACCCTGAATAAAAAAAAAAAAGGAAGCATCATATTATTAAGAATGATAATTTTGGCTTCAAAGAACAGACATGTGAAAGCTAAAAACAAAAAATCAGTGGTTTCATGATGTGGCCCAGAAGACCAGCAACAGAAGCCCCTGGCACTTGTAAGAAGCCATCCACTCAGTCCTCACTACAGATATGCCTAATCAGATTTCACAAGGTGCAGCCCAGCTATATTAGCTACATTGGCCCAGAGAAACAGGACCAGTCAGCTACATGTAAAAGTTGAAGGATTTACCTTTACAGTGAATGCCCACATGCCCACCAATATCCTTAACATTTACTATAGTTGTTTGAATTCTTTCACAGGATTTTGATTCACTTCAACTAAATTGCAAGCAACAGTAGGACCCAACCAGGCAAAATAATCACTAGAGTTCAATGTATATTTACAACTCTTTAAAAATATTTTATTATTTTTATTTTATGTCTATGAGTGTTATGCCTGCACGTGGGTAAGTGTGCCTGTGTTGTACAATGCCCATGGAGGACAGAGAGGTTGTCGGATCCCCTGGAACTGGAGTTATGGACAGTTGTTAGCTGCCATGTGGGTGCTGGGATTCGAACCCTGCCAGAACAGTCAGTGTTCTTAACTGCTGAGCCATCTCTACAGCCCCCTTACAGCTTTTAAATGTAAAAATTTTTAAACACAAAGAAATGCACAAGTCATGTATGTATTTGCTGTGTGAACATAATCAGTGTTCATACTGTGTGACTTGGCAGCCCCCCCATTGCGTTGAGGGAGAGGCCCCTACAGCAAATGTGGAAGGCCAGACCAGCAGGAGCCTTGCACTGCTTCTCCACTCTTCAGGTGGAAGGCAGCTATCCTGGAAGAGAGATGCCAAAACCAAAGGCCTGGAGGTAGACCTTAAAGTCCTTCCACAGCAGACCAAGCACCAGAGGTCATGAAGCAGAATTTCTGCACTGAGAAGACCTTCTCAGCCTGTATTACAGATGGAAACCAAGTTTTCTATTTCTTTTTAATTAATGTTTTGATTAACCCCCTAATAATTATACATATTTATAGGTGCATAATGCAATGTTATAATTTATGAATACAATGTGAAATGACAAAATCAGAGTAATTAAACAAGTCAGTAATCTTTACAATCTCTTGTTTTGATTTTTATTACATTTATTTATTTTCTCTGTGTGTGTATGCTGGGAAAGCACATGTGGCGGTGTGTGGGGTGTACATGCCATGGTGCAAACGTGGAAGTCAGAAGACACCTTGTAGGAGTCAGCTCTCTCCTTCCACCATGGAGGTTCAGGAGATGGAGCTCAGTCATCAGGCTTGGTGGCAAGCATCTTTACCCACGGAGCCATGTCACTCCTTCAGGCCTCCTAACAGCTGAAGGAAAGGTCTTTGTTCTCTGGGCTATCTAGTTCCTAAATGGATCATCACCCCCTTCTCTGACCTTTTGATTCCAGTCACATTTGTAGTCATGATGAGCCCACAATTAGGGCCCATCAAATACTGGAAGCTCAATAATGGGTTAAGGATCATCACTTCTACCCTGGGAAATGTGCTGGGCCTACAAGGGTACACAGAGAGGAGAAGGTGCAAGATCCCTGCTCCCAGGAAACTTACAGTGTAGAAAGAAGGCATATGGGTATCCTCCCCAAGCTCATATCCTGACATTCCAGTTCCAAGCATGACAGTATTAGGACCTGTGGCCTTTGGGAAGTAGCTAAGGTTAGCTCCTATAGTGAGGGCTCAGTTGCTTAAGCTTAAAAGAAGAGACATGAGACAACCCACTCTCTCCTGGGTAAGTCCATCGTGCCCTCCATGCCTTGACTCCCCCAGGCTCATTCACCCTCCCATCTCCCACTCCCTTCTCTCCTCCTAGCCTGGGTACTGTCCCATTCCTTGTCTTGGCACCCCAGACACCGGGGGAACCATCACTGCTTCCTGATCCTTTGCATCCAGACAAATCCAGTTCCTTCTCGAGGTACCCAGGAACCCTATGGGCCTGGTCCTGCCCTCACCTCCCTCTGCTTCCCTGGGCTGCACAACCTACCAGCCTCTTTCCTGGGCAGTGGGGCTGATCCCTCGGCCCGAAACCACTACTGCTTCCTAATCCCTTGCATCCAGACAAACCCAGTTCCTTTACGTGGTCCCCAGGAGCCCTGTGGGCCTGGTTCTGCCCTCACCTCCCTCTGCTTCCCTGAGCCTGCACAACCCACCAGCTTCTCTCCCAGGTAAGTCCATTGGGCCCTTTGGGCCTTGACTCCCCCAGCCTCATTCACCCTCCCATCTCCCCTGCCGTCTCTCTTCCTAGAATGGGTACTGTCCCATTCCTTCTCTTGGCACCCCAGACACTGGGGAAATCATCACTTCTTCCTGAGCTTTTGCATTCAGACCAACCCAGTTCCTTCTCATGGTCCCCAGGAGACCTCTGGGCCTGGTCCCGCCCTCACCTCCCTCTACCTCCCTAGGCTGCACAAACTGCCAGGTGCTTTCCTGGACACTGGGGCTGACCTTTCAGCTTCCTGATCCTTCGCATCCAGACCAACCGACTTCCTCCCTACAGTCCCCAGGAGCCCCTGGGGCCTCTCCCCACCCCCATCTCCCTTTGCATCTCTGAGAGGCATGGCCACCAGCTACCCAAACCAGCATCTTTCCTGGTCCCTGCTCCCAGGCCACTCCAACCTCCAAATTCCTGAGGACAACATCTATCCTGGAGGAATCCAGACCTTAAAAGAAAGCCTGAGAGCATCTGATCCTCATGCAACTTGGGCCTCTGTGGGAACTCCTGAAGACAAAAGCAATCTGGCCACTCCAATATAAAAACAAAAGAGAGAATGGGAAGCTTAGACAAACCAGCTTTTCATGGCCCAAAAGGTAAACCACAAAGGCACATAAAGTTTACAGAAAGAAGCAGACCTAAACGTGAGGGCTTGAGTCTCACACAAGAATCAGAAACTACAAAAGAAATTCACATGTCAAAATCACAGAGAAAAAATAATATGAAAAACCAAAATAACATATCCCCACCAAATACCAGTAATCCTCTAGAGGAACACAATGAGAACCCCCTAGAGAAAATGCAGGGCATGGAACTCAAAAGAACAATGATGAATATGATAAAAGAATTTAGTGAATTTAAAGAACACACAAACAAGGTAATCATAGAGCTGAAGGAAGATAGGGATAAACTTCTGAATGAATTCAGAAAAGAGCTAGAAATATTGAAGAATACTCAGGCTGAAATAAAGAACAAAGTGAAACACTCCATAAGCCAATTAAAAACGACAGGAGAAAGCCTCACCAATAGGATGAA